TTTCCATCAATCCTTCCTCCAGGGCAAGGTGCCTTCAATGTTATCTATCTCTCAGCTTACCTTGGCACCAGAGCTTCCTGGTATCTGGCCTCTTTGTTCTCTTTGATCACCCACACATTCCTTTCCTAGCAAGTAGGTTCATTTTTTAGGGGCCTAGAAGCCTGTAGCGTGGGGGATGAAAGATGCAAAGATCTGACCATCCTGTGGCCACCCAGGAGTGCATTTCTGAAGTTCCTCAGTGTTTGGAATCACTTTGTATATATGGCCTATTCATGGAACATGAGGCCACAAGCCAGGAAACATCTGGGGCCACCAGAAGCTGGAAGAAGCAATGAAGGAGCCTCCCCTAGAGTTTTCAGAGGAAGTGCGGTCCTGCTAGCCAACACTTGAATTTCAGACTTCTGGTCTCCAGAATTGTGAGAAAATAAATTTTTGTTGCTTCTGTTGTTTTAAGCCACAAAGTTCCTGATAATTTGTTATATCAGCCACAGAAAACTAGTATAATCTATAACTTGGATCTCAATAGAGGATACAAGCTCTAGAGCCAGCCTGCTTGGGTTTGAATCCTATTTCATCACTTACTATATATGTATCCTTGGGCAAGTTACTAAGCTTTTCTGTGCCTCAATTTCTTCATCTATCAAATTGGGATAAAACCACTTTCCACACAGGTCTGCTGTGTGGATTAAATGAGTTAATACTTGCAGAGTAATACTTAGCAGAGTAACTAACTACCACATAGTATGTGCTCAGTAAGTGTTAACCACTTAGTGGTAGTAGTATTAATCCACTAACGCAGTATATTATGGTTTGAAATCAGCTTCTTTTCAACTATGAATGAAATCAGTTATGACTGAATTTGTATCCAATAATCTATTCCAAATTTTTCCTTTCAAGATTGGAATTCTAAGCAATTCAAGCAATTTCTTTTTCCTTTTCTCAATATGCCCTTTCCTAAAATGTGACACCCAGAATAGAAAATAAATAAGCTCTAGCATCATAGCTAATATGTGATTTTACATATTGGTCTATATCATAAGCTCTTTTTAACTGTATTGTATGTAAACAACTACCTTTAAACTCTGTGAAGGCATCAACTTTGATTTCTACTTCTATTACAATCTCCGTAGCATTTAGGCCAATGTTTTATATACAGAAGATGCCTGTCAAACGTGGCCACTAGTCAGAAATCGCATTTCCCATAGTAAAATAATAAGAACCGAGGCTACATAAGTGATGTTTCTTCAAAATGAAGAAACAAATTAGAAAGCATGTATTGAGCACCTACTGTGTGTTAGCTATTCCACCAGGCACCAGAGAGGAAAAATAATAAAGTTGATATCTCAAGGAAGTCCTCCTCAATTGTACACTAATGTAATTAAAATGAGCCAATGGTCTACAAAGAGCCAATGGATTAACCATATCCGATCTTTCTTAACATATTTGGGGAGGAAGAGGCCATAGCTTTCTGGGATTTAATCCTATAGCAATAACCAAATGGGTAGAAAACAAATTAAATTCCACATAAGCTCCAAGTGCTTCCCTTGACCCAAGTGTCAGCCTCTTCTCTCTGAGAAGCTAAAATAAATAAAATCCTATTTTTCCCCATTATTCTTTCATTTCTCCAGATAGTACAAATACAAGTCAGGAAAAAGGCAAAAAATACATATATGGAAAAGATTTTCAAACTAGATAGTTCTCATATTCAATGAGATGCATGAAATGCACAGATCATAAGTTCCCAGCTTGATGAATTTTTGTGTATAAGACCATGTAACTAAACAATTAAGACATAAAACATTTTTAGTTCTTCTAGAAATCCCCTCCATATCTTCCCAAGGTAGCCACTATTCTGATTTCCCTCACCATTGATTAGTTTTTTTTGTTCATAAACATTCCCGAATAGTTTGAAATGGAAAGAAATGGTAAATAGCTGCTTCTCGTGGCGCAGAGGACATCGAGCTCAGCTGTGGAGAACTTTTTACCTTTGATTTTAATTTAAAAATATTTCCTGTTCAGTCTACAGCCATGCTACCCTGAACACGCCCGATCCTGTCTGATCTCAGAATCTAAGCAGGGTCGGGCCTGGTTAGTACCTGGATGGGAAATCACCTAGGAAGACCAGGTACTATAGGCGTTAAATAAACAAAGAAACAAACAAACAAATAATAAAGTCCTTATCATTAAAAAATATATATTTCCTGTTCAAATAAACCACATTAGGATCCATATGTGTAGGTTCCTTAAACTGACATTGGAAACGCCTAGCATGGATGCTTTCTTTCTCATGTTTTATTATTAGATCCACAGTTCTGCTTTTTATTCTCAGCATTACCAGTGACTATGCAGCCAGCCTACTTGGTGGTGGTTCAGGTTTCCCATTGCTAACAGGATAAAGAATGTGATTGTGCCCCCAAAAGGAAGCTCCATGACTAGCTCACTAAAGGGTTCCTACTCTGTAAGATAAGTATCAATCTACTGGTCATTCAATGAAGATACTTATCTGATATCACACAACTAGTGACTGGCAGGGCCAAGAATCAGAACTGGACTCTTTATTGGTAAAGCCCGTACTCTACCAAATTGCTCTCTTAGTATAACCAGAGTGGATACAAAGAAAAACAGGAAATGAAAAAGAAAACACCTTGGGTAGAGAGCTTTGCTCAGTACCTGGCAACACACAGGGGTGGGTCATCAACTATAAACTTTATGGCATTAAGTTGAAACCTGAGGGATGAATCAGCAATAGGCACTGTGGGCTACATGATGAAAGGAGGGAGCATCTGAGGTAGATTTTTCTTCTAGATAAGTAACTGGGATCACATGACTGATTCTTCACAGCCAGGCTAGGGAACTCGAACTTTATCCTGAGAGCAATAGAGACTTACGAAAGAAACTTAGGGGAGGGATGTTTGGCCATCCAGGATCTGCTTACCTTGGCTACTGCCTACCTAGTGCCTGCCTTTCCAGTATGCTCACCTTACCCTCTAGTTCATATTTCAGAAGTTACCCCCTTGGGACAAGGTGTCTTTTGAAGGTCTGACAGGTGGATCGGTCTCCTAAGGTGATCTTTCATCCTCACACACACACTCCTTTTGTTCTGCCCCAGAATCTAAGAGTACAACCTCAGGCAGACCCAGATGCCTAGGAACTGCCTGTTGTAAAATTCTCCATGAATGCGTGGCACTGTGCTCTCCATTGAGTAGAGACAGCTGGAGTGTGGCGAATTTCAGAAGTAGCAACTTTGACTCTGAGGGTGAGAGGAAGCAGCCCATAGGAACCTACAGCCAAATGGGCTCAGAGACCATACATAATCTACCTGAGAGTATTTGTCCTAATATTTTCATATAGACTTAACAAGCATATTGAATGCTTATTTTCTGCCCAGCACAGTGCTAGCCTTAAAGGAAGTCACACTGAACAGGCTCCGTGTAGTCTCTGATCTCACCGAATTTACAGAAAAGAGGAAGATAAAGTGCAATAAACAATTCTAAGAACCACTGTAATTTAGGAAGAACTCTGTCTCCAGCTTCTGCTTTGGATAGAAATCTAAAAGGCATTGCTGCTACCATAGCAATAAGACTGAGTAATTGACAAAAACAACTTTCTTGAACCTATCAGAGAGCTCAAGTCACAGGCAACCAACTAGCCTGAAATCTAAGAGAGGTGGACAGAAGCATTGGTTCACCTATAGCACTAGGTAAGACAGCAGTACTACCAAGACAAGAGGGTAAAGATTTCTGCTAAAATTTCCAACCAGTTGCTGAAGCCCAAGTGTGGGCCGGTATGCGGGTAGAGAATTAGAGCCTCAGACACAAGGTAAGTTCTCACCTGCTTGCAGGCTCTCCTTAGACCACCACTAGGTCCTCCTGAAGAAGACTAGGGGTAGGGCCAGTGGGAGAAAGCTTCCTTCCTCATCAGATCCACAAGTTCATCAAGTACATGTTCTATCTTCCAAGTTACCACAGATAATTTTGCCTACGGTTGCCCTACCACAGAGCCCTTTCCTAACCTCTCATTAGTTTCTTCACCATATTTCCACCCACTAAGTTTCTTCACCTCTTTTCAACTGCTTTCTTGCTGCCGAGTTCCAAAGCCAAAGCCACATTTTAAGCTTTTGTTACGGCAGCATCCTCTTTCTGATCCTAACTTCTGTGTCGGTTATATATTCCTGCATAACCACCTCATGTGCTCATAATTCTGAGTCAGCAATTTGAGCTGAACTCAGCTGGGTGATTCTGATGGTCTCACCTAGGGTCACTCATGGGACTTCAGTCACCTGGTCACTTGCCTGGAACCAGATGGTCTAAGGTGGCCTCACTCACGTCTGGCGTTTCGTGCTGACCATCAATAAGGCTCTCTCTCCATGTAGCCTCTCATCCTAGAGAAGGCTGACCCAGGCTTCTTCACACTTTGCTCTCAAGATTCTAACCACAGCTAAAAGAGGACAAACCTCAACGTACGTTTTTCAAGCCTCTGCTTCCGTCATGTTGGATAATGTTCCATCGGCCAAAAATAACAAGTTATGTGATCAAGCTCATTGTCAAGGGGTAGAGAAATAAACTCCACCTCCTGATAAGAGGAGCAGAAAAGTCACACTGAAAGGAGATGTACATAGAGGGATGGGATAAATTGTGGAAACCATCTACTAGATCGTTATTCGCCAAAAAAATGCAAAGTAGGATACAAGAAACCACTTACCCACTAATATAGCTAAAATTAAATTGACTGACAGGAGCACATGTCGTCAAGGATATATAACAAATGAAACTTTCATTCACTGATGATGGAAGGTAAACTGTTTCAACTGCTTTGGAAAATTGTTCGGCAATATGTACTGAAGCTAAAGGTAAGCCTACCCATTACCCAGCAGTTCCTCTCCTAGGTTTATACCCAAGAGAAATGAGAACATATGTCCACAATAAGATTTGCACAAGATACACAGCAGCTTCATTCATAACAGCAAAACCTGGAAAGAACCCACATGTCCATAAACAACAGAATTTTTCAATTCTGGTATATTCAGATGATAAAATATTACACAGCAATTTAAAAAAAAACTACTGATAATACGACAGAGATAAACTTCATGTACATTATATTAAGTGAAAAAACACATAATAAATAAGAGAGCAGCCATGTGGTTTCGTTTCTATGAGCAGGAAAAACAAATCTGTGGTGACAGAAGTCAGAATACTCATTATCTCAATGGATGGGGCTGACTAGGTAGGGCCCAAGGGAACCTTTTGTGAGACTAAATATTTTATATCTTGATGTGGGTGTATAAAACATACAGAAAATCCATCAAGGTTTGCACTAAAATTTATGAACTTTTACATAAGTTATACTTCAGTGAAAAGATTTTTAAAACACAATAGCAGAACCCTGTGAGAACAGGTAAAAACCAGAAGTACATCTTTCTTGTGTAACAAGATCTCAAGAAATAAACAGTCCAGGGCTGGTGCAGATACAAAGATCCAAGTGGGGAACCAGAATGGTTGTGACTTCTGGCCACATTCCCTTTAGCCTATAGTTTTTACCCTCATGGTCACAAGATAGCTCTTCTAGCACTGGACATTGTGTCTGCTTGTACAAAGGCCAAGTAGGGAAATCTGGCTAAATAAACCATCCTTTCCAACATCTTTCCCAGGAGTCACACTCAGCGATTTCTCCTATTGACCAGAACTAGGGGACATGGCCTCCCCTAACTACAAGAAGGCTTGAGAGATAGAAGTTTTTAATAGTGCACATTACCAACCTGAGAAACCCAAGGTTTTCTTATAAGGAAAAAGGGGCACTTTTGGTAGGCAACTAGCAGGATGCACCATACGAGACCTAAAAGCAAATCCCAAAAAACACCAATTATTCAATAACACAAAGACCACATACTCGGCTCGCAATGTAATTAAACTAGAAACTAGCATTAAAAGGTAACTAAAAATGCCCAGATACATGCAAGAACTTTCCAGAATGACAGAAATGTTCCATATATTGAATGAAGTGTTGGTTACATATATGTATACATCAGTCAGACTCAACCAATTCATAAGATTTGTGTATTCCACTATAATTATACCTCTATAAAAACATGACCATGTGCAGTTATTTAAAAAATAATTCTAGATAAGTCGCGTGTCAAAGACTTAGTAATGACAGAAACTAAGACAATATTTAGAATGAAAATAAAATGAAATTATACTTCAAAACATGTGATGTACTTAAACAAGACGATTACAGGCCCGAATGTTCATATTTTTACAAACTTAAAGTTAATCGGCAAGGGGCCCACCATAAGAATTAGACACTGATAAAGGCAGGCCGCCATTCCTAACGTTTTCTCTCCTGGTGTGACTCCTTTTATGCACGGTAAGGGAAGAGCTGTGCCTAAAGGCTTTCTCACACTGATTACATTCATAGGGTTTCCCTGCAGTGTGGGTTCTGACATGTACGATAAGGTGTGAAGACTGACCAAAGGCTCGCCCACATTCCTGACACGCATAAGGCTTCTTGCCACTGTGGGTCCTCGCATGTTTCCTGAGGGATGAGGGCTCACTAAAGGCTCGCCCACATTCCTGGCATGCAAAGGGCTTCTCCCCAGTGTGGGTTCGCATGTGACTCTTGAGGGTTGAGAGACGACTCAACACCTGACCACAAGTACTGCACTCATAAAGTTTCTCCCCTGTGTGGATCCTCTTATGCACGTTTAGGTGGGTGCTCGTCCGAAAGGGTTTCCCACACTGGTTACATTCATACGGTTTCTCTCTGGTGTGAGTTCGCAAATGTGTCTTCAGTGATGAGTGTTCCCTGAAGGCTTTCCCACACTGACTGCATTCAAACGGCTTCTCTCCAGTGTGAGTTCTCACATGACTCCTCAGAGAGGACGGCTGATTAAAAGCTTTCCCACAGTCCTTACATTCGTAGGGCTTCTCGCCTGTGTGGTTTCTCTGGTGCAAAATCAGGTTAAAGTTCCTCGTGAAGGTTTTCCCACACTGACTACATTCAAAGGGTTTCTCTCCTGTGTGAGTTCTCATATGGCGTCGCAGATTTGAGGAGTACTTGAAGGTGTGCCTACATTCTTGACATTCAAAGCACTTCTCTGAGGTATGGGTCTTCTCGTGCCTGATAAGGTCAGAACTGTATCTGAAGGATTTTTCACATTTGTTACATGCATAGGTTTTATCCCCACTACGAATCTTCTCATGCACTATCAGGTGAGTGGTCTGGAACAAGGATTTCCCACTCTCTTGGCATTCACAGGGGTTGCCTCCAACATGAATTCTCTCGTACTGAAACAGTTGTTTGATGCTGTTAAAGGGTTTCCCCAATTCATTATATTTGTAGAGTTTTTCTCCCAACGGAGGTTGCTCCTGTCAATTGAGGAAAATGTGAAGACCAAAGATTGTATTACATTCATAGACATTCTCCCCCAACTGAATTGTGTGTAGGATCAAGACATTTCTATAACCAAAGCTTTTATCATTTTTGTATGTCTGTACCATTTCTACCCTAAGTTCTGTCCAGTAGATGTGCTGCCATAAAGAGGTATCATTTTCATACTTTCAAGGGGCTTCTTAGATGAAGACTTTTTCTGAATTGAGGCTAAACTAAGTTTTAAATGCAGTATCTGTTTCACATTTACAAACATGGTTAGTTGTGAGAACTCTGTGAAGATGCGTCTTAATCTGCATTTCAAGTTTTCGCCCACTTCATGACATTCACAGACTGTCTCTCAAGAAACCACTTTCTCCTGGGTGAGACACCCTTGCCTTAAATCTCCTTCTGGTCTCTTGTGCTTTTTTCCTACTCAACAGCAACCCAGACTTTTCCTACTATAGAGGATCAAGAATAATCCTTGTGTACCTTACCCTTTTCATGACAGTGGATGGCATCTCTGCAAAAATACCTTGGTTAAGAACCACTTGCTGGGGTTGAAGTTGAGGTTCTGAAATGAATTAAGGGGGAAAAAATTAAGTGTACAGAGAAGGAAAATGTAGGATCGAGGTGACCAAAAAAAGCAAGCTAGGCACGTGAGGATTTTTTTAAGTACGTACCTTAAATATGAGAAAATATTGTGAACAGGAGGGATGTATCAAAGAGTAAAGGAAAATTTTAAGGCATTTGGCTATCTGAGGGTTATGTAATCACAAGAACAAAGGATGGAAATAGTACAATTAATAAGAAAGGATTCTATGGAGAGAAGGACTAATACTGAGAGAAAGTATTAACAAGAACCTACAGTGAAGAGGAAGTGGATGAAATATATACATGGAAATGCTAAATGTGAAGAGGAGGTCGGATAAATCGTTCTATGAAACCAAAGTAAAGTATCAGAGATAAACAGGAAAGGGAAAAAGGAAAGAAGATAGAACTCACTAAGGGAGCCCATGAAACAGCCTTCTCCGTCAAAGGCGTGAAAAGTGTTTCCCTTACTGACGCTTTCCAAATCTAACATTCGTCTTACTGATCAGAGTTGGTGCTCCCCTGCTCTACTGGGTACTCACCTGGATGGGCTCCTGGGAAGGTCCCTCTCTCGGTGGTCCACAGCTCTTCTCTTTGCTCCAAACAGGAAAAGGTACTAGGTTTGCATAGTTGATCTCCTGTTTGTGGGGAAGGACGCATGGCGTAGGCAGATTGTGCCACCATGAAACCGGAGCTGACAATCTGAAGTCTTTAGGGGCATTGGGATGAGAGTAGCAAAATGAGTGTACCTAAATTTTGACGGGCATGGCAGGGCTCTTTCATTAAGGAACCAAAGTGCAAGCTATCTCACAGGGTCCCAGAGGACACTGGGACATTCCAGTCCCCAAAACCGAGGGCCTAGCTCAGGGACACAGTTGAGAAGCCCAGAAGCAGTGGGCAGATCTTCATTTCCATGGGGAAGCCACCAGACTCAACACCATGAGCTGAATCTGTCTGTCTTTCTCAGCTCAGTTTCCAAATGAGCACAGTCCCGGGAACCCATACTTGCTGCACACGTGTGCGGATCAAGCAATGAGGCCAAGTACTGAGGGAGATGAGAAGGGGAAGGTGTATGACATGGGTAAGGCCGACCTTACCCACAGAGGCCAGGTTCCTGTAGTTCTCCAGCATCACATCCCTGTACAGGCTTTTCTGGGCAGAGTCTAGAAACATCCATTCTTCTGGGGTAAAGAGCACAGCCACATCTGCGAAGGTGACTGGTTCCTAAAATGCACACCGATCCCAGCTCAGCCAGGGGCCACCCCTGCCAATACGCAAGAGGACACAGGGCTGGCAGGCCTGGAGACCAGAGACCTTGTGCAGACGGGGCTCCGAGGTATCTCAGAATCTGCCCCTTGGCCCAGGCTCCAGAATTAGAACTCTCCTCTCTACTCCTCCCTCCCTGAGGGATAGCATCCAGACGCGTGGCGTCAAAGGACCTCAACTTCATGGGAGGACTTAGCTACTGATAACTAGCTAGGAAGCCCTCGAAGTTTTACTCCACTCCAGCCCCAGGGTCCAGCAGACCTGAGCAGGCAAGAGAGAAATATTAAGTGCAGAGAAGTAAGTATGTCCCATGTGACTCTGCTGTACACTATGAGATGAGGACAGTTCATATCCTTGCTTTGTTTTCCCTCCTGCCACTACACTCAGCAGAACATGATACTCAACAGCCGGCGAAGGTCTGACTGAGGGGGTGGAGCTGTTCGTTGCCTGAACTGTCCCCTACCCAGTGCAAGAGGCCTAGTACTTGGATGGCTGGATGCCTGGAGACCAGCCCTGTGGGGTCGAGAAGCTCCACACCAGGGAAAGAAAACAAGGGGCAAAGCAAAAAAGAAGAGCAAGAAGGATTTCTTACCTACCTGTGCACAGGTGGTCAGCACCCCAGGATCTTCCTCTACGCTCTTCTCTTGGAGCCACACAGGGTCCTGAGCAGGCAGAGCTAGACGAGAGGGGAACCATAAGGCCCGGTGAGCACCTTCACAGGACCAAGGACTGCCCACTCTGATTGAGTGCCCACATGTGTGCACACACGCACGTGCATACTCTCAGGGACACCCCCAGCCTCCTTCTCGGTCTCTTCCTTTTAGGCCTCTGGCTGGCATCCCCATGTCATACACCTTCCCCTTCTCATCTCCCTCAGTACTCTCTACCTTTGCTGGCAACCCACTCCTCTGGGTTTCAATCCCCACCACCACCAAATCCCCAGGCTCACTTCTGACATCCAGACTCAGATACCCAACCATCAGTTCTAAATCTCCATTTACCTACCTGAGGGAACACGAAGAGAATATCCAGAATGAGCTAAGGTCAGGCCTGCTGCTCCAGCAGGAAGAGGACACAGCCTCAAGCCACAGAGATTATTCTCAGGCCTTAGACCTGTCCTGCTGGGTTGTGAATATGCTTGGGACCCATGATCTCTTTTCTCTCCCTTTGGGAATGGAAATGTCTGTCCTATGCCTATACCACCATTGTATTCTGGAAGCAGAATTCTTGTTTTCTGGTTTCACAGGTTCAAAGATGGAGAAGAATTTTGTCCCCAGGATGGACCACACTCCCAGTGTCACCCATACCTGATTTGGATGATTTACATGATGAAATTTGAGATTTTTTGAGCTGAGATTTTGGACTTTGAGTTGATGCTGGAATGCGTGAAGAGTTTTGAGATGGTGGGATCATATGAATGTATTTCGCAAGTGGGGAGGAAAAATTGGGTGGGGGGGGCACAGGGCAGACTGTTATGGGTTGAACTGTGTTCCCCAAAATAAGAGGAAGTCCTAACCCCCTATACCTCAGAATGTGACCTCATTTGGAAATAAGGTTTTTGCAGTTGTACCCAGTTAAGATGAAGTTACGGTGGAATAGAACAGGCCCTTAATCCAATATGGCTGGTGTCATAAAAAGAGATGAGACACAGAAACAAGGACACATGAGGAGAAAAGGCCATGTGACAATTCAGGGAGAGACTAGAGCGATGCATCTACAAGCCAAGGAACACCAAGGATGTCAGCACCCACCAGGAGCCGGGAGAGAGGTGAGGAAGGACCCTACCCTACAGATTTCACAGGAAGCATGGCTCTGCCGCCACCTTGATTTCAGAATTCTGGCCTCAAAACTGTGAGACGGAAATTTTTGTTTCATCCCTCCCCTCACCAAAAAAATGAGCTCAGCACCTTCTTCACAAAGCCTATTCTTCCAGAGTCTCTGATCTCAGGAAGTGACATCCCTACCTCAGATGAAAAATCTCACCCTGGCACACTATAGACTCCAACAATTAATCCAAAAAAACAAGTCAATGGTGACATCTCTATACGAGCACCCATCTCTCCCCTCTCCCCAACACCTACCCCACTCCCGAAATTCCCTCCTAACCTTAACCCTGCTATCACTAATATCACATCACACTTTTCTCTTTTTTGGATCCACTTAAATGTCACTCCCTCATGACTTAGATGTCACTGCCCCATCTCCCATACCATGCCTGCCACATAAATGCTCTGGATTGTCTGGTAAATGAATGTATGCACAACTCACCAAATTGTCTCAGCCTGACTTCTTGCATGTCTTAACGATGTTCCATGCTTCCCCAGCATGCAGACGAGAGTTAACACATCAGGCCTGACTGTGCTACTCAGCAAGGTCTGCTGGCAAGGCTGGACCTTGGCTAGGGTCTGAGAACTTGGATTTCAAGAGGGCTCCCCCCACCCTAACTGCTAAGAGGGGCTCGCTCCACTTAACCTATTTGTACAAACCATGTGGTTTGTCCTGAACGCCTGCTTTCCTTCTGGATGTCTGGAATGCAGGTACGTGCTGGGCAGAGGGTGCCTACGTGCCCAGCTCCGAGTGAAAACCCTGGGTGCTGAGTCTCTAATAGCCTCCGTGGCAGACAACACTTCACACACGTTATCTCCCAGCTCACTGTGGGGAATTAAGTGCGTCCCACGTGACCCCGCTGGGAGAGGAGTCTGGGTGCTTGCACCTGGTGCCCTCCAGATTTCGTCCCACACGCCTTTCCCTTGGCTGATTTTGCTATTTATCCTTTCCCTGTAATAAACCATGGCCACCCATACAACTGTTTTCTGAGTCCTATGAAGCCTCCCCGCAAGTCATCAAACCTGGGAGGTCTTAGGGACTCCTGCCACACTGACTCCACCCTCACCCCAAGTCTAGGCCGCCACCATTCCACTCCTAACTGCCTTCATCCACCACGCGCATCCTCCCTGAAGTCCATCTTCCTCCCAGGTGCTGGTGGGTTCTGTTAGAACCACACTACAGGTGTACAGCACCCCTCACCTACATGTGTCCCTGGCTCCTGGGAGCCTTACGGGATGGGCCAGGGTTCTTTTCTCCATGCTTCTAGGCCCTGAACTATCTAGAGCCCACTCGATCTCCAGTCAGCTTACACCACCGTCCACATCGCTCTGCTTCCCTTCCCACAGCCTTCTATGGCCCTGGGCTCACTGGGCTCTCCCCGACTGGAGATTTCACTGATGCTATTCCTAGGCCTGAATGTTCACTCCAAACCTTCTCCAAAAGGCCTAACATCTGGCCAAGCTAAAGGGCAGATCTAATTAAGATCTAATCCAGTGACTGCCCCCCAGGGGATATGTTGCAATGCCTAGTGTCTTAGTTGGCTCAGGGTGCCATAACAAAATACCATAGACTAGGGGGCATAAACTAAAGAAACCTATTTTTCACAGTTCTGGAGGCTGGAAGCTGTAAACCAAATTGTGTCCCTCTAAAAATTCCTACGCTGAAGTCCTAACCCCCAGTATCTCAGACTTAACTGTAATTGGACACGGGGTCTTTAAAGAGGTAATTAAATTAAAATGAGGTCAGCAGGGTGGACCCTTATCCAGTATGACTGGTGTCCTTAGAAGAAAAGGAGATTTGGACATAGACACACACAGAAGAAAAACAAAGGAAGATGAAAGCCATCTACAAGCCATGCACAGGTGCCTGGAAGAGATCACGGCCCTCAGGAGACACGGAACCCACCAACATCCTGATCCCAGACTCCAGGCCTCCAGAACTGTGAGAAAACACATTTCTGCTGTTTAAGCCACCCAGTCTGTGGTGCTTTGTTATGGCAGTCCCAGCAAACTAACACAAGGGAGGTGCTACTCGTATCCAGTGGATGAAAGCTTGCGATGCTGCTAACACCCTACAACACACAGGACAGCCCCAGCGTCAGCGGTGCTACAGCTGAGAAACCTTAATCTAAGCTTAAACTTCCCAGAACTCCTCTCTACCCACAAGATAAAGTCCTCATGTTACATGCTCCCACTGCATGCTGGTCTTCATTTGAAAATCTGACTGCCCCGCCAGACTGCGAGCTCCACAGGGGAGGGGGGCAACGCCCACAGTATCACAGGGGGACAGTCACGAAGCACTTCAAGGCAGAGCCTGGCCCAGAGGACTCACCAAAACACATACAGAAGAGCAATACATAAGAATCCCTTTCTGTCAATGATATAATACAGATTACAAATGCAAGACTGAACGTTATTATTAAGAAAAGAAGTTTATTACTCCTACTAGAAGGCAAGCTGAAAGGAAAAAACGGCCTTGCAATTAAACCTGTTACTTGTCCTCCAGAATTAATTTTTCCTCCTACTTCTCAGGAAATGTGGCTTTTAACTTCATTTTTTTAAAAAAAAGCTCAGTTAAAACACATGCCATTTATAGTCAATTCAATTGTAATCGTCAACATTGCCATAACTGAGTAGATCTTAAGCTCCCCTAGGGAAACCTGGCCTTTGAGGACTGTGAAAGTGCCCTTCCCCTTGAATACGTAAATAATAAGAGAGGATTTTATGTATTCTCTCCTGATAGTGCAGGGCAATGACTGTAGTCAGAGGAAATGAAGGTGGGAGATGCAAGTTTCCACAGGATAGGAGACCCCCTGGCTGCCATTCCACCCGACATTCACTCACCAGAACCCCCGGTCACCCATGGGTCAGGGAGGCCCAACTCAGGTTCCGGCGTGGTCACCCTCTGAATCCGCACAGCCACCTTCAGCCCCTGGACAGAGTGACAAGGACAGATCAGAGGCACACAATGGTCAATGCAATCCACACCACCTGCTCACTCTGGCTGAATTTGCCTGACTAGCCCTGCTTTGGGGAACATACTGATAAACGGAGGGACGATGCCATCTACCTGCCCAAATTTACCCGATTCCTCAAGACAAGGCTAATCACTGTGACAGAACTGCAACTGCAACATGGGATGGAGACAGGGGTCCCGGGCGGGGTAGGCCTCCTCTGAGCAGCCTCCAGCAGAAGGGGAAACGCTGGAGCAAAGCAGGCAGTGGGTCCCGGCTGCCTGAGGGGCAGAGGGGGATGCAGAGGCAGACCCGTGCGATGAGGGGAGTTCGGAAGTTATTTCCAAAGGAAGCCCCATTGTGGGAGACAGGATGTGAATGCTCCTCCATGGGTGGCTGCCCCCTTGGAGAAGGCGTCTGACCTGCCCTGCACTCCTAAGGCAGGCCTCTGGCCTCTGTGTCCAGGGTGGGCCCAGTGGAAGCAAGAGCCTGTCAGGAGCAGTACCCGGTTGTTCAGAACTAATGGTGGCTCTAGACAGTGGTGGCAGCGGGGACAGGAGGAGCGGTCACACGTAGGTTATCATTTGGCAGGACTTAGTGGTAGATGAGAAGTAAATGAGGCAGGTCCCTCGGGGCAGGTGATGGGCCCCTTCTCCTCAGAGTAGGGCTCAAAGCACACCTTGAAGTGACCCTCTCTGATACTCTGTCCCCAGCCTGGATACTTCTCACCCAGCCCTCAGGTCACAGGAAACACTCATCCCTGCATGGGGTGGGAGCATGCATGGGGTGGGAGTGAGGGTGGAAGGATCAGAGGAAAAAAGGCTGGGCCAGGAGGGGCAGGGCCAGGGCCTGGGTACTGGCCTCTGTCAACTGCCACCTTCACTATTTACCCTCAATGCAGAAACGCTAGGGCCAGAAACACTAAAGCCAGTTCTTACCAGGAGCTAAGCCTAGGCCTCCAGCTGTTCCCAGTTCCCAGCAGGGGGCCCTAGATTCCTCCCTCTCCTTCTGTCTCCTCATTCATGGAAATCTCACACCCCAACCTCACTGGCTAGGACTGGGGCCCTGCAGCAAACCACCGCCCAGGCTTACTGTGTATCCGGAAGGCCAAGGCAACTCCAGAAGAGCTGGCCGGTCCTCTGAAGATGAAGATATCCCCCTCTCTCCCATCATGGGCCTGATCTGCGTCTGCAGGTCCAGCCCCAGCCCCTAGGTAAAGATGTGGGGGATGCTGAGCAGGACAGAGGTGGCACTGAGGCTGTTCTCAGCCTCAGAGACCCTCAGTTTGGGGGTAGTGCTGTCAGTAGTTGGGGCACACAGGTCTGGCAGTTTCAGACCTGGTGACTCCCTTATTCCACTGAGAGCGCTATCCACCACCGAGGGTCTCATAGGAGGGACAAACCTGACCCCCTTCCGGTTCCAGGGGGACCTGTCTGGAGAATAGGCCATGAGCGCCCAGAGGCATTGCAGGACGTTTGACCACAGAAAGGTTGGGAACCCCTGGCTCTGAATATGAACATTAGTCTGTGTTTTCTTAGATTCTGCACTTGTCTATTTGGAATCCGTTAATCACAAAACCAAACTATTGGCCACCGTTGTTTACTGCCACCCAGAACCCACTCTGAACCATCTCCTTGGCTACCTCTCACATAAACCAATACTCTCCTGTCCTAAATCACCCAGGCCAGGTACCAGACAACCAGGGAGAGCCCCTGTGCCCAAGGGCCCCCACAATTATTCAAACTCGCCCATCCTCTTTATCTTGCCCTCTGCAAACCCCAACAAAAGCTCTAACCTAGTCTCTTTCTCACTCCTTTCTGCCTGACCAACCCTGACGCTTCCCCCGTGTGACCCCAAGTGCGACAGCAAGCCTTCTCCTCTCAAGAAATATAAGTTAAAAAAATGTTCTTTCTGCGGCACTGGCCTCTCCATGTCATCAGTCTCCTCCATAAATTAAAACCTCATGAGTATTATTTTGAGACAAACGTCTTCGTTGAATTAATTTTGACACAGATCATTCCTCTTGAAAAAAGGGTTTTAGGAGTTTAGCCTATTTGTTCAACACATACTTTCTGAGCACCGCTAGTACCGACACTGTGGGTCTAGCAGAGAATGACAAAGGTGAACCCCCAGCCTCCAGGAGCTGGGTGCTGAGGGAGAGGCAACGTAGGGAGGCTGAGCCTGGAGACGCCCCTCCCTCAGTCTCCTCTGGGCCTCTTCTAAGAGCAATTCTCAGCTCTCTCTGTGCCTGCCCCTTCCCTGGCCTGGCTGACCATGAGGAGGATGCCACAGGGCCTTGGTCTGTCCCTGACCGCCAGCACTTACTCCCACATGACAAGGAGGCCTCAGAACTGCCATAAGGAACCTCGGTGTTTGGGACTAAACTCAGTGACACCTGGAATAGCCCTAAAGGGCTAACTAAAGGGTCAATACCATCAACCAAGTGGCGGATCATGTGACCTCAGGCAGTAGATCCTGGTGGCTAGGACGGTGATTTAGGGAGTTAAGCCTGGATTCGACTCCCAGCTCCAAATCCAGCTCTACCACTTTGTGAGCTGTGTGCCTTCAGGGGTGAAATGCTCGATTTCTCTACACGTGTCTGAAGTGGACCTCCTCTGCCCACTCAGAACATTCTGTGACTGCCTGTGTCCTGGGGCTCGAATGCAGCTGGAGAGGCCACTCCTCTCCCACACCTGGTACTCACTGCTGAGCCAGAGCAGGGTGCTGTGGAAGATGCTGGAGCCCCATACTGAAAGAGCCGCAGAAACTGGAAAGACCCTGTCCCTCAAGGCTCATCCTCCCTGCTCCCTCCCATGGTCCATCTGCTGATCAAAACAGGGGACAGTGGGGGCCTGGAGATGCCTTCACACCTAGCTGTTCATTCCCTCATTCGACCAGCACCAACCGAGGGCTCTACAGTGACACACGTAATGCTCTGTAACAGGGCTACCGCACCCGCCACGTCAGATGAGGCCCCTGCAATCCTGCAGCTCCGATAACACATGTGCAGGTCTCGGGGTCTCGAAAACCACACATCCTTTCCCAAGCAGCTACTAGGGGGACATCCTCTACCTAAACCAGAGAGTCAATCGAGGACAATGGGCACCGAGAGGAGGAAGGTCTCAGCTACCCTAGGGTCTGTTGCCAGCCATGAAAGGGCAAGGGTTTTGGCTGTGCAGGGCTGATGTTCCCCTGCTCAGGACAAAGGAACATAAGAGAGGTCTCCACAATGTGGGCAGCACCCCCCGACTAGGCCAGCATCTCTGATGTTCTGAGGTCGACACCATCATGACAGGGGTAGAGGGGCACAAAGTGAGGGAGCCCAGAGATCCCAGTGGCTCTGGGACAACCGGGCCCAGCCCAGGGGTGAAGCTGGGCTCTGTGTGTTCCTCTGTCCAAACTCTAACCCTCAAAATCCCCAAAATGGGAACTCAAACCTTGGAAGCTCCTGTAGCTGGGGAGGCGGGAACTGAGGGCCAAAGCAGGGGCAGATGGGCTCCTTGTGTCTGGCCTCATGCACTGTAATGTGTGAGCTGGTTCTGAAGGCTGTCCCCGCTTGAAAAGGACTTCTTTCCAGTCTAGGGTCTCGACTTGTCTCCTAAGCGGAAGCAATCCCTAACAACTTTCCCATTTTCTTAATAATCAAAGTGGCCCTCCCCGCTGTGGCTTCAAGTTCAGGTTATGGTTCCTCCAAAGCCTTTACCGCCACAGTTAAAACATCGAGTGCCTTCTCTCCAAGCAGTTTGCTCCTGAAAAGGGGCAAGTGATGACGAAAAGCTCAGTGACATCCGTGCCATGCCCAGGGATGCTCCCGTCAGAGGCACGTTTTCGGCATTTTCAGAGGTATGCCCTGTTCATACAGGTCGAGTTCTTCGAGAACACTGTGGGCCCCACAACCAGGCTTTCTCACATTCTTAACTTTCCTGGGGTTTGCCTAATAGACGGCATGTTTCTCAAGATTGTTGCAGAATAAATCACATTTCGCACAGTCAATGTCTGCCTCACAATGTCGGAAATGCTTACTTGGGGGAACCTTCTAGGAAGAAAGTCTGGAGCAACAGGCAGAGTTTACCCAAATTAATGAGTCACAGACTATGTAAATAGTCACACTCAGTTACAATTACTGTGTCCCCTCGGGTGATGCCCTTGAGGAATACTCTGGCTCAAATGTCTCCCTGGCCCTGGGGTGCATTTGCAATCACATATTCCTCAACTTCTCCAATGAGAGCAAACTGAAGGATCACCCACCCTGAATCTTACCATTTGCAAATCATGGGATGAATTTTCCTCCAAAATATCCTGCAGAGGAGTAGACTCTTCGGGTTTAGGTTGCAATTCCCAGTCTAAAGTGAATTGAAGAAAAAAAACCTTCTTTCAGAAAAAAATAGTGGTGTGAAATCGACACAAAAAATAAGTTTTTAGGGAACGCAGTCAACAGTAATGTAATGGCTACATATGAGACAGAGAGAAACAGCAATCAGGGGGATCATTTCATAAATCGTATAAATGTCTAATCAATGTACCGTATACTTGAAACTAAAAATAAAAGAAAATTTTTAAAAATAGGCTTTTTTTAAAAAAATCACTGACCCTAAACTAAGGAAGGTACTAAAAGAGAAGACGGCATCAGTGAGCAAAATAAAACTCTAAACAGTACGGCTGGGTATGGAAGTGACAGGAAGGAGAAACGAGAGGCTATTTTTCTGAGAAGTCTGTGAGGGGAGTGGGACTGATGTTCAGAACGAGT